ACACCACCAGCCCTCTTTTGTGATGGGCTTTTTTTTTTGAGATAGGGTCTCACAATTTGCCCAGGCTGGCTTCCAACCACAATTCTCCTGATCTCTGCCTCCTGAGTAACTAGGATTACAGGTGTGGGGCACTGACACCTGGCAGTATTGGTTGACCCTAGTTTTGATGTGATTTAATTTTATGCTCTCAGTACAGTGGGTTACAATGTTTTGGTTTTAAATTCATGTCTGATAACAATTACTTATAAAATCTGTTTTTTTAAAGAGGTCTGTCTAGTTATAAGAAAAACTGTTCTCTTTTTTTTAATTCATTTATTCACATGTGCGTACATTGTTTGGGTCATTTCTCCACCCCTCTTCCCTCCCACCTTTCCTTCCAAGGCAGAACCTGTTCTGCCTTTATCTCTAATTTTATTGAAGAGAAGACATAAGCATAATAAGGAAGACAAAGCGTTTTTGCTAGTTGAGTTAAGGATAGCTATACAGAGAGATTTCCTAGCTTTGCTTTCATGTACAAAAATGTTACAACCCAAGTTGATTCATCTCTAACTGATCTTTACACTGGTTCCTGATCCCCTTCTCATGTTGACCTCTGTTGCTTTAAGGTTTCTGTATTAGTTGCTCTGGAGTGGGGACATCAAACGCTTTCATGTTTTGGATTTTCTACCTATTATATCTCCTGTATGAGCTCTCCCCTTGTCATGTGATCTAAGTCCAACCACATTGCTGCGTTTGCCCTAGATCTGAAGTCTGCATATGAGGGAGAAGATACAATTTTTGGTCTTCTGAGCCTGGCTAACCTCGCTCAGAATGATGTTCTCCAAAAACTGTTCTTTATGATAGGTTGATTTCTCATCTGAGCATTACATTAGTTATATTCTGTGTGTGTGTGTGTGTGTGTGTGTGTGTGTGTGTGTGTGTACTGGGGTTTGAATTCAGAGCCTACACCTTGAGACACTCCATCAGGCCTTTTTTTTGTGTGTGTGTGATGGGTTTTTCGAGATAGGGACTTGTGAACTATTTGCCTAAGCTGGCTTCTAACCTGCAGTCCTCTTGATCTCTGCCTCCTGAGTAGCTAGGATTATAAGCATGAGTCACCAGCACCTGGCTAATTGTATTCGTTATGCCTTTTCTTCTTACCACATTACTTGAACTATATGCCATCACATTTTTTAACTTTAACTTTATTGGGGAAGCTAATTACCCTTGAACACACACACTTACTGTGTGCTTCGTTCACTTTGTAGTTCATAATGCAATCAGGACCACTAAAAAATGCCAATAAACCAACCATCAACATCCAAAATTTAGAATCTGTAGCAGTAACGGATTCTCTTTACAAAAGAGGCTATTAAAAATAGATACTTGGTCTGGGAGAGTGCTCAAGTTGTAGAGTATCTACCTAGCAAGCATGAGATCCTGAGTTCAAACCCCAATACCACAAATAAAAAAAAAAAAAATAGAGACCTGTTAGATGCCAGTGGCTCATACCTGTAATCGTAGCTACTTGGGAGGCAGAGATTAGAAGGATAACAATTCAAAGCCAGCCCCTGGCAAGTAGTTACAGAGACCCTATCTCAAAAATGCCCAACACACACATCAAAAGGAGGGAGGGGGGACTGGTAGAGTGGCCCAAGTAGTAGACCACCTGCCTTAGCAAGAGTGAGGCCCTCAGTTCAAACCCTAGTATTGCCAAAAAAAAAAAAAAAAAGAATAAATACTTGAAAACTAGGAGCCTCCATCCCATACAGACACAATGGAAAGATCTTAGAAATCTTTCCATGCAAAACACTTGAATTTAATTTCTTGTTGCATTCTAATCTTGTAGGAATTGATAGATTGAGGCAGATACTGTGATTTATAATGCTAAATTGAGGTAGAAAAACATCTTTAGTGAGCATAGCCTAGTTTTGGCTCATTATTTTACTACCTGGCAGGCCACTGTTACATATATCACCTGTATAATAACAATAGTAATGATAAATGTTGTCACCTCTGACACACACTGATGCCAAGTATTTAATCTTCTAGTTCATCATCCACCCTGTGAGATAAATCCTGACACCTCCAGGTTAAAAAAGTTACAGAAGTTGAGTCTTAGCCTCTGGGTCCACAGCCCTCCATTAAGGTGTTATTATATCAGACATTTACCTACTGGAATAAACTAGTAGCAAACGAAATTTGGCATGACTTAGTAGTGAATATTTTTATGAGATGCCCTTGCCATTAAATTGATCTCATAGATAGTCGGAAATTGATACTTTTAAAAGTAAATGTCAGAGCAAATTTAATTTAATTAAAATTATTTTTATTTCCATTAGCTACTCTCTTGCTGAATTGATTTCTTTCCTTGTGGTGGGGAATGTTGTTAGTGAATTTGGTTATTTGATGTTTATTTATTGTTCTACCTAAGGGATTAGCAAAGTATGGCCCAGGGGACAAATCTGTCCTACTGACTGTTTTGTAACTAAAGTTTCTTCGGAACACACCCACACTTAACTTGTGTCTGGAGGGGCTGCAAAGTCTAAAATACTTAAAGCCTAAAAATATTTACTATCTGCATCTCTGCTGAAAACATTGCTGACCTCTGTTTTACCTCATTCAACAAAAGATTTGAAGAAACCAAATTTTCGTCGTCATTTTTTGGTTTTTTGATTTTTTGAGACAAGGACTTACTATGTGGCCCACCCAAGCTGGCTTTGAACTTACAGTCCTCTGACTTCCACTCTCAAGTGCTGAGAGTAGAGGGGTATTTCACTATGCCACCTGTCTAGAAGCGGTCAGATTTTATATCTAATCCTAAAGATACATGAGCTTTCTTTAAAATGTTCTATGTAATTTATATCCTTTAAGGGAAAGGGTTGAGGAAGAAGTAAAATTAAAATGATCGGGTTATAATGGAATATTTCTTATCCTCAAGTACATTACATTCACATGAGGGGTTTTTGTTGTTGTTGTTTGTTTGTTTTGTTTTTTGATGGGACTGGAGTTTGAACTCAAAGGCTTCTCGCTTGCAAAGCATGTACTATACCACTTGAGCCACACCCTCCAGTTCTTACACTCACTTGAGAATGTCTTTACTGGTGTACCTAAGACCTGGTAGCTAGGTGTAAAATTGCCCAGCTGATTGAATGTGTTTTAGGATCATTGCTTTCTTCTGGGAAAAAAAAAAAAAATGTTTTTTCCTATTCCACTAAAAGGATAACAAAGAGGATACATTTAATTTACAAGGAAATAAAACTTGATCATAGGTGAGTTTTTGTTTACCTTCCCTGCCCAGGAGAGAACTGTTCATCAGGTTTCCAATTAGTTAGTTATCTGATCCTTTTCAAAGTCCTGTCTGTCCATTCCCCCTGTTGAAACGAGTAAGTGCTGGGTCCCCCTGGTGCACTCAAGTTTCACAAGCCTTGGGACTTGAGTCTGCTCTTTACTTTAGGGTTCATAATTGAAAGAGAGACCTTTTCCCATCTCACACATGACTATAATGAAGACGTCAGAGTAACTTTTAGAGTTAGCAGAAGAGTAGTACCCTGAGACTAATTATGCAGTGTTACATTTTTTGCTCTAACTTAGCTTCCAAAAGGGAGATTTTGGTCTAGAAAATATGTTTATGAAAATTTTTCCTTTTGCTTTTCTTTTCCTGGTTGCTGACTATATTACACAAAGAAACCAAGTGTTAACTTGTCTTGTTACTTGGCAGGAAATACTACTGTGATGTGGAATTTTTCTTCTATACTGGTTAGTATAGAAGTGCAGTACACTTAATCTTCCAACAGGTTTTAACTTATTAACAGTTTATATTCCTATTTGATATTTAAATACTAAATTGAGCTAGGTTTGAAAATATATGAATCTGAAATATAGTTAGGAAAATGGGAATAAATATTTCGGCGGTAGGTTGCATACTACAATAAACCTGATTATACCAACAAAAAATAAGTTAATCTAAATCCAACAAGTTTGAATTAACAAAAATATTCTAAAATGCCAATAAATTTATCTGTTCTTGGTGAAAACACTCTAGGGAATGAATACCCAGGCTTCACTTGGAAGGAACATAATTTCTATTTAAAAATATACATATATATATATGCAACACAGAAGAATAGAACGATGGAATTTCTAGGTGGTAATGCAGGTTATCAAAATGATAAATGAGCTGTTGAATTTATCAGTAAAAATTGAGACATTCTATCTTACTTTGGTTTGCAGTATTAGCAGCAGAGATACTTCAAAAAAGGCTTTTATAATTCAAGCATTTATGTTCAAGGAAAGGGTTTTAATCAGTTGTGATAGCATAATACCTTTCACAAGCATCCAATCTCATTGTTCCAAAATATCTTGATTTACTCTGATGCATGAATGGTGGAAAGAATATGAATGGTATTGGTTTTGCTTTGGGCAAATTATTCAAACTTTGAAATTGCTTTTTTTTTATATATATAAAGTAGGATTTATTAGAGAGAAAGGAAAGGCTACAGCTAGAGAAGAGTAGCGGAGTCTGGAAGCCGGTAGCTCTGAAATTGCTTTCTTACTGTACAGTAGAGTAGTAATTTCTTCTTTGTAGAATTTTGTGATGGATTATGTAAGTGCACATGCTTGCTTATCTGTAGCTACATTTTTTTGTCATCTAATGTATCAGCACATGATAATTTAAGGTAGTCTTTTAGTACTTTTTTTTTTTCTGGTGGGACTGAAGTTTGAGCTCAGGAAAGGTAATCATTTAGAATAACTATCCTACCCCCAGTACGACTATAATATGCTAATAAATTTTTTTAACAAAGAGTTAAAAACATAATAATAGCACAAAAAAATGAAATAACTATTCTGAGGGGGTTAGATTCCTTTCAGTTAGTGTTTTCTGTTCCTGAGGGTGGTTTCGCTCACTCTCTTACAGTATTGGATAGGATGTGCATATGTGTGTGTTTATGATAAAATTAGGACATTATTAAAACTGGAGAAATTAAAAGAAACTTGTGGGGGGGGGTGTTTTGATGCAGACAGCTTTAATAAACCGCCTGGAACGAATTTTCGAAGCATGTTTTCCTTCCATATCTGTCCCTGATGCTGAAGAGGAAGTTACTTCCCTAAAGCACTTGCTGGAAACAAGCACCTTGCCAATAAAAACAAGAGAGGCCTTAGCTGAAAATGGGTAAGTAGTGGACAGTTTTTAGATAGCATGTGGTTTTGCTCATGTAGGCTGTTCTAATCTAAGGATTAATCTTTCATCAGTAAGATGAAACAAAACAACGTTTTGTTGTTTAACCATGTTATGCTAAAAAATTCACAATGAGAAAACTCTCCTCTACTTTTGAGCTATTTCTTTTGATGTTGCTAAGTCAGTATTCTAACCAATGTTATATATGCTTTTTTGACTTCCTGGTATAATAAATGGTAGGGGATTGTTTTGTTTGTGTTTGAGGCAGGGTCTCACTGTGTATCCCTAACTCTCCTCCTGAGTGCCAGGATTACAGGCATGTGTCACAACTCTTAGTTTAAATGGGAATTAGATTTTACTTCCACTATTCTCTCTTCATTTTCCCAGTGTACTTACATCTTATTTAGTGTCTTCCTTATCATAGTCATGTAAGTATTGTTCACTGCTAATTCCATGTCTCCTTTATACAACTTTTTCCTGAACTTTATGTAGATTGAGTATCCCTAATCTGAAAATTAGAATCTGCAATGCACTGAAATCTAAAAAAAAAAATACAACCACTTAATAATACACACTATAAAGTGCAGAAAGACAGTATTGCCTTATTGATAATAGAAGCCAAACAGTAAAAACAAATTACTCAGAGCTGTAGGATTGCAGCTAAATTAATGATGCTATATCAGCCTAATAGAACATTACACAGCCATTGAAAAAATCACAATAGTCCCCTTCCCCATCTAAAGGGATAACGTTCCAAGATCCATGAGGATGCCTCATACCTTAAATAGTACTATAACTGTTTGTCCCTATACATCAGTATCTATGATAAAGTTTAATTTATAAATTAGGCACAGTAAGAGATTTTAAGCAATAATGAATAGAATAGTTATAACAGTAGAGCCATTGTAATAAAAGTTGTATGGATGTAATACTGCTCTCAAAATATTGGACTATACTCACCTTTTTTCTGTGATGATGTGAGATCATACAGTGTCTTTATGATTACATGAGGTAAGTGCTCAGAACATCACCCAATTAAAACTTATTAATTATTGCTGGGCACTAGTGGCTCATATCTGTAATCCCTGCTACTTGGGAGGCTGAGATCAGGAGGATTGAGGGTCAAGGCCAGCCTAGGCAAATAGTTGAGAGATTCCCATCTCCAAAATAACCAGAGCAAAATGGGCTAGAGGTATGGCTCAAGCAATAGAGTGCCGGCTTTGCAAGTGTGAAGCCCTAAGTTCAAACCTCAGTCCCACCAAAAAAAAAAATTTATTACTAGAATTTTTCCTTTAATATTTTCAGACCATAGTGTCCACCAGTAACTGAAACCATGGAAAGCAAAATAACAGATTGGGGTGGGGGAAGACTACTGTACATATGTAGACTAGGAAATACTTAGAATATGAAAAATGGAATATAAAATTATATATATATACACCATAATTGCAACCGTATTTGTAGCTCAAGACTCAAAGAGAAAACACAAATATTGACTAGCTGTATTAAGATAGTGTAATGCCAAATGATTTCTTCCTTTTAAATTGTTTTCTTTTATAATAATTCATAGGACTAAATTTCTGCTTAATTACTGGAATATTGTTAACAGTTGTACACTTATGTTAGACACAAGATTCATTGGAGTGTATCACATGACATGGTAATATTAAAAGTGGAATTTATGGTGGAAGCTCATGAGTAACCTGTTGTTGGCTTCATCATGGCCTTTGCAGCGAATTGTTGGATGTGTGGACTGAGCTACAAGATATCCATGATGCACGTGGCTTGAGATATCAGTGGGGTGGCTCCCATAGCAACAAGAAGCTTTTATGCTCCTTGGGAATAGACACCAGAAACATTGTGAGTTTGTTAGTACCTTAAAATCCTTTAATCAACCTGTGAGTGTTTTTAAATTTTGTTACACTTTCTGTTCAAGCTGTGATGTTCTAGTTCTCCAGAAAAATAAACATTGGTTGGTTTTAATGTTCATTTATTTTAAATATGCTGACTTTTAAATACCAATCTATTTAATTGTTCCTCAAAGTGATATTTCTTATTTTTGGAAAAAGTTGTTTTAGTGTTTTCCTTTAATTATAAAATGAAAGAATTGGACTGAGAAATTTAATAAATAACTTAACAATTTATTCATCAGTCACTGTGTAATAAAGCATTATAAGCATATTTTGGAAACAGTTTTGCTGTATAACAGATGATTGTCTAAATACATATTCTTTCTCTCTAATGTGTGTAGCTCTTCACAGGCAATAAGAAGCAACCAGTTATAGTGCCCATGTATGCAGCAGGATTGGTAAGTACAGAAGTGCTCCTGCATGTATTTATCATTCCCACTTTTACTCTAAGGTCATCCTACATAGCATGACATGTGAGTGTAGTGAGTGTATTTTAAGAGGCATGCAGTGCTATAATCTTAAGGGCATACATTATGCTATATATAATAACCTTTTTTACCTCATAAATCCCTTCAGGTCTTTCTCTCAGGACATTTTTCTCTATTCTGTTAGTTAACAGATACTATATTATCCTGGTAACTTTGGCACTTAAAACTGTAAAATGTCCTTTTTTTTTGAGATACTGGGGCTTGAACTCAGGGCCTTCACCTTGAGCCACTCCACCATTCCTTTTTTGGTGAAGGGTTTTTTCGAGATAGAGTCTCACGAACTATTTTCCCCAGGTTGTCTTTGAACTGTAATCCTCCTGATCTCTTCCTCCTGAGCTAGGAATACATGCATGAGCCGCCAGTGCCTGGCTTAAAATGCACTTTTGAAGGACATTTCTTTTTCCTTTTGTAAACTTGCTTTAAAAAGAAGACACCGAAGCATCTAAAGCCTTAAAGATACTTGATTTAATCCAGTTACTACTTTTAAATAATGCAGTCTTGAGGCTGCAATGTTCCTGAAAGCTTGGAAATACCAAATCCTGAAATGAACCATGACACACAATTGGACCTTAGTTTTTCCATTAATGTCTTCATAATGTCCTGGGAGGCTGAGGCATCTTCATTCTGTTGTTTATCAAGACTCAGTCACATTTGAAAGTTTGATGTTTGAAGGAAGACTTTGGTGTGTCATTGAGTTATTGGTGAATAAAAATGTACTATCTATTAAACTAAAAATACCTTGTTATAACCAATAACTTGGAAGTAAGGAAAAATTACTATGTTTAGAAATGAAAAAAAAAATGTAGCCATTGGTATAGAATTTAAATTGTACCAACCATATGTGCATGTGAAAGTTGAATTTGCTGTGCAGCTTACCTTTGCTTAGTCTACAGACCTTTCCCATAAGTAGCCACTAATTATTGGCATTGAGTTGGAACGTTGTGATTTATTTTTACAGTTTTGTTTTGTGGAATTTTCTTTTCTGAGCTTGAGCTTTCTTACCAGTTTCTGCTCTGTTATTTATCTTACACTTTAAAAACATTGTGATATTCCCTATACAGTTTTCTATTCTAGATAAATATGATCTAGAACATTTATTTAACTTGTTGGTTATTTGGATTTCTTCTTTTCTTAAGGAGTAGCAGCACTCCAGAGATGGTTGGTGTTGGATTGTATGATTCAAGTAGGAACTAAGAATTTCACTTGCAGGCACTTCCTTCAGTGAGCTGAGGACAGTGGCCTACTTAGCACGTAGGTGCAGCCTCAGCACATTAGGTAGTAACCAGAAGTTTGTGAGGAGCCAGATGCTAAAGCTTATCCTTTAATTTTTCTGTCTTATTACCTTCTTCATAGAAGTTGCACTATTTTATAAGCCTTAATATCAAAGTTTACTTAGTGCATATAAATGTAACTTCCTGCTTCTGTCTTTGTAATGTCTTTCAATTAGGAACTTTCATCTTCATATCAGACTTTAATTATACCTAAATTTTCCTCATGATGCATTTCACAGATGAGAAGATGTTCAGTAATCTTTCAATTTTTTTTTTCTGGAGAGATAGTACCCAAAATGATCATTTAAGCAAGCACTGATTCTCACATTTAATGTGCATCAGAATCACTTAGTGAATGACTTGTTAAAACACAAATTGCTGGACACCGTGCCAGACTTTTTTATTCAGTAGGTCTGGAATAGAGCTTCAGAATTTACATATCTAACAAATTCTCAGATACTGAAGAAGCTGCTGATTTGGAACCACAATTTGAGACTCTGTAGTTTAAATGATAATTCAAATTAGAAATCTTGGCTGACACTAGTAATGGCTTGCACCTGTAATCCTAGCTACTCTGCAGGCAGAAATCAAGGATCAGGGTTTGAGGCCAGCCCTAGAAAACAGAGAGACCCTGTCCCAGTCAATAAAAAGCTGGGTTTGGTGGCACATGCCTGTCATCCCATCTTAACAGGGAATATAAATAGGAGGATCTTGGTCCAAGCCAACCCAGGGATAAAAGCAATAAAAAGTTATTTGAAAAATAACTAAGGCAAAAAGGGCTGGCAGTATGGCTCAAGGAATAGAGTGCCTGCCTAGCAAGCATAAAGCCCTGAATTCAAACCCCAGAACCACAAAAAAAAAAAAAAATTAATTTTCTCCTTGCATAAGAGCTCACTAGACAACCTTTATAATATGTATGGTATTAAGATAAACCATGAACTTATTTTCATTTTTTTAGCTGCTAGATGAAAGCCTTTAATGTATACTGCTATTAACAATTGAATTATAAATTGCTTTCAGTAGTTTATGCCCTATTTTATAAGGGAATGGGGATTCTCTTAAATATTTTTAGAAATTCACAGATTCTAATATTACTGACTCAGCAGTTCCGATTTTTTTTTTCTTTCAGTTAAGTTATTTTTGTCCGGGATTTAACATTTGATAAATGTTCAAGAGCTTATCAAGATGTTTGGGGGTTTTTTAAAATTTTGTTTGTGGTACTTGGGATGGAACCCAGGGCCTTGCCCATGCTAGGCAAGCACTCTAGACCTCAAATATTATTTTTAAATATGTAAAAGCTTCGCTTTTTTTCAAGCTATTAACCTGGGTTATTACCATTTTATGTTTGGTACAAAGTACTGATGTTTTTGTCTTTGTTTCTACACCCATCCTAAATGTCTTCCTTTCTTGTTTTAAAGTGTGTTTGATTTGTAACAAAACTAGTGGAACATATATGGTGTTTTCCCTCTGAAACGGCTCTTTCTCTTTCTGCCTCTCTCTTTCTCCCTCCCTCCCCCTCCCTCCCTCCTCTCTCTCTCTCTCTCTCTCTCTCTCTCTCTCTCTTTCTCCCTCTCTCCCTCCCTCCTTACCTTCCTCACTCTCTCCCCCCCCCTTTTCTCTTTCTCTCTCTCTCCCTCCCTCCCTGTCTCTCTTTGGTAGTACTGAGGTTTGAACTCAGGGCTTCACACTTGCTAGGCAGGCATTCTACCACTAAAACCACTCCAACAGCCCTATTTTATGTTGGGTATTTTTGAGATAGGGTCTCACAAACTATTTGCAGGGCTGGCCTTGAACCACAGTCCTTCTGATCTTTGCCTCCCAAATAGCTAGGATTACAGATGTGAGCCACTGGCACCCACCCCTAAAGTGGCTGTCTCTTTACCAGTCCAAAAAGCCAAGTACTAAGACTGCAGTGCCTTAGTGACATTGGGGTCAAACTATAAATTCACACTAAGAGAAACAGATACCAGAATATCGTTTGGCATGTTTCAGAATCACCTCTCACTTCTCCAAGTACCATCATGTATGATTTTCCTTTCCTGCATATCAATGTATTAAACCCCATAAAGGCATTAGATTGTGGGCTGGAAACATGACTCAAGAAAGAGCGCCTGCCTAGAAGCTCAAAGCCCTGAGTTCAAACCCCAGTACCACCAAAAAAAATAAAAATTAAAAATAAATAAAGGAAAATAAAGGTGTTAGATTCTTGGGACCTGAATGTGATTATATCCCCACCACACCCTCATCCCAAGTTGTGTTTATGCTTTTGTGCAACAGTGATGCTTATGTTCTTTACACCATCTGATGTTAAATGTAAGACCTACCTTCAGAAACTTTTCCCTCTTGGACTAGGGATGTGGCTTTGTTGTAAACACTTGCCTAGCATGGCAAGGCCCTCAGTTCTATCCCCAGCACTGAAAGAGAACCCACAACTTTGATTCAAAGGTATTATAAACAGTTCCCATTGTAATGCTACAAGACTATCTGTAAACAAAGTTTAACAATAGTTCCTTTTTGTCTTTGTACTTTCCACATGACCTAGGTTTTTCCCTTCCTTTTTTTCTTCTAAATTAGCTTTCTTATAAAGTTTATAAGTTGATTTTCCTCTACCATTAATTTAATTTATCTTTTTCAGGGTATGTTAGAGCCCACCAAGGAACCATTGAAACCACTATCTGCTGCAGAAAAAATTGCTTCCATTGGTCAGACAACCACCATGACACCAGAGATAAACACATGCACATCTGATCAATTCCAGGTAAAATCAGTTATATGGATATCGATATGTTTATCCACGTATGGATACATATGTTTTATTTTCCTTAATTTATATCCTTATTTTATATTTTTAAAACTTGATAATGGACATGATTTTGATTGTTAATTAACATCCCTTGAATACAGTGAACAAAATATCTCATTTTCAAAAACAAAAAAGTACAATTTGAAAATAGGGTGATTATGGGTAAGTTCTTAAACCAGTCCAAAGCTTAATCTCTTGACATATAAAATGAAGAGTTTGAACTAAAATGCTTTGCAGTTTGAACATTTTATGATAATTACTGACACAAATCTGGTAAGTGCTCTATTTTCCAGAAATGGGAAACACTGCATTTATTCCAGCACTTCACATCTGCCGTGGCATTTTTTTTCCTGAAAATTTACAAAGCAACAAAAACCATCTTACCTTTCTCATTCTTTACCTCTTTGACATATTTAAGCAAAATTTTATTTCAGTCAAGTATATCTGCTATTAAAGACTTCCTTCTCACATTTTTTTGGGATGGGGGAACAATAACTGGGGTTTGAACTCATGCTAGTTAGATGCTCTACTACTTGAGCTACTCCACCAGTTCAGTCTGCCTCTCACTTTTTATCTGGGAAAAATGGGAAATTTTGGTTTGCTTATTCTTCACACATCAAATTAGGAACTGACTCAGTGCGGGTTAAACATTGTTTTTTAGAAGATAAGTATTTTTAAGTGAGCCATTACCATTTCTAAAACATGCTCTTGCAGTTTGAGTCATTTATTTACCTTAAATACCATCTATAATTGTATCTTGACACAAAACATTATGTTTGGACAGCCTTTTCCAAATGTATGTTTCATTGAACTATAATCCCCAGGAATGGTCCATTAAAGCAAGGTTATAGGGTAAAGTAAACTTAGGAAATACTTTATATTGTGCCCCCATTGTGGAGATTCATTCCACACATACTAAGGAGTCTGGAGAGTCCTGAAGTAAATAATCCTATTTACTTTCAATTCACTTCTCAAATTCACTTGGCCACAATATCCTTTCTTGCAAGGCATAGGAGGGAGAAGAATCATAACTCCTGTAGAACTAGTGTTTTGAAGAACATACATTACAAAATATTGTGTAAAACATAGATCCAACCCTCTCAGATGTGTTCCAAGAAATATCTAATGTTACTGCTGTGTACCACTATGGTTTACTCATGGGCATTGTTTAAACTTCACTTTGAAGTCAGATTATTACTGGTACAGAATTAGTAGGTAAGGGGGACTGATACGTACAATGTCTGGCTTCATTGATAGTTGGGAAGCAGACAAGGTGGCTTGGGCAAAACACCTTGGTAGGTAGAATCTGTCTTTAGTTACCTTCATTTCATTACCCTGGTAATGCCCTCTGGCTATCATCTGTTCTCATAAGTCTGCCCTATCTATGTATATTCCAAAATTCTCTCTACCATAGCACATCTCTACTTCTACCTTGATTGAAATTATTATTCCTATTGGTTAGGTATTAAGAAACTATCTACATGGTTCATTTACTGAAAGTGCAGCTATCTTACTAAGACATTTGTTGCTAGTTTTGCTTGCTTCCTCTACCATCCTACTACTTCCACATGTTCAACCCCATAAACTATTGCTTATTTTATTGGAGTAAGTTATTTTCTGTCATTTTTGCCCCTAGTTGATTTGATTTTATTTGTTTCAGTCTAGTCATACTTTATGCTTATGTGAAGTATAATAAGCATTTATATTATGCTTATCTTATATAAGTTAATTTACACTTAACTAAAGCATATTCTAGATGACCTAATGAAGAACATGTACGTTAATTTAGAATTTTCTGCTGAGATGCCTGACCTCTATCACTGAATTATATGATCATTGTTTAGCTCCATACCTCTGATTCAGGTTAAAATAGTTAACAGATACTTGAAATGCATTGTAAAGATTCTCTTTATACAAAGTGATATTTCTTACCTCTTGTCTTTGGCATGCCATATATAATTTTCATTTTAATATTTGACCCCACAGTAACACTGTTACATCTTCCCAAAAGTCACATTTTTCAAATGAAATGCTCATAGCCTATAGTGCTACAAGCTTAGCAAATTATACCTCATTTTTCCTTCTTTTTCCAAAAAAATATGCCACATGTACTGTCTATGTTTTGATTTTTAGTATCATTAAACAGTAACTTTTATCACAGTTGTATAAGTCTTAGGATGATTGCATGCTTTTGGGTCTATCTGTTCTGTCACAGTCTGAGTACCCTTTGAGTTGGTTTTTTTGTTTTGTTCCCAGATTGGCTTGTATTTGTCAATCTTGTAACCATTCCATCTCTTATTAAGGAGTTAAAAAGTTTACTAGCTGAGTGTGGTGGTTCAGGCTTGCAATCCCAGCACTTGGGAGAAGGGCACAGAAGAATCTCAAGTTTGAGGCTAGCCTGGGCTACATAACAACTATCTCAAAAAAAAAAAAAAAGTTTATGGTAATTTTTTTCTAAGCTACTTTTACCTGAAAAGATAGCTCGAGTATAATAAATGACAGTAATACCTTTGTGGTTGTTTTTTAATCTTTGTGTACTGAATGTCAAAGTCACACTATTATTTACGATACCATTACTGATTCCCCTCTCAGTAAGATCAATACTAAGCCACACTTCATTCACTGCAGGAGAGTCAACTATGATTAGCAGCTATGCATCTAGTCACCTCTAGCAACTTTCTCTCTTAGGCTACTTGGTATGACCATTTTATTTGTGAATCAGAATTTTAAAGCTAGAACAAAAAATGATTATCTTGTACCATGCTTTTTCAATAAAAAAAACATATTTGTGAAAGCTAAATGATTTACCCAGAATCATACATCATGATACAGCTAGGATTAGAGTCAAATCCACTTTCTCTAGTCTTCCTATGTTCATTCTTTTTGTTATGATCTTACTTCCTTAGTGTTGTCTCTGCCATAACCATTCATAGGACATTGCTTAAAGCTGTTTCAGAATGCTTCATTCCAGTGCTTTCTCTTTGAGTTGCCTTACTGTGACTGTCATTAGTTAACCTTTATTTTTCTTTAGGTATTCTGTTTTTCATCTTCTCATTTCCACTAAATGTAAATTCATGTAGCATTTCATTATTATAATTTTGGTTATGTCCTTAAAAATGCCATGCTCCTGTATGGGAATTTAAAATACCAGTTAAACCACTGAAATATTTTTAAGCACCCAGCTACTTAACATTATTTAGGTAGAACATATTAATCAAAGAACTTGTTCAGTTTGTTCAGAAATTTTGTTATTGCATCAGCCTACGTTTTGTCCATCTAGTCATTGTTGAATAAAATTAAGGTCTCACTTCTCCAAAAGTGGAATAATCTAGTAGGATGCTTAAAGCTTTGTGTTTGTTTTGAGATCAGCTAAAAAAAATTTTTTTTCTAAATCTTCAGATAGACTATAAACTATAGGTTTTCCCAAACATTATTTTTAACTTAATGTGAAATAATTACAGATTTACAGAATGTTACAAAGATAGTACAGAGAAGTTCTGTGTACTCTTCACCATGTCTCCCATGGCTTACATCTTACATAATTATTGCACAGTCTAAGAACAAAGAGTGTGATATTACTTCATCACAAGGGTAGATTTAGGTAACCACCCCAACAATCAATAGAACTCTTTTTGGCCACGCAAAGAACTCCCTAAATAATCACACTCCCTCCTCCCCACCGTCTTTCTCCCTGGTATTCCTAATGTTAGCATTTTACTTGGTTTATACTTTCTTCCTCACCTCCAGGTTGGACCTGAAGTTCATCTCCTTCATTTCCACTAAATGTTGATTTGTGTCTTATATGTATTAATATATACTATATATGCTATACATTAAATCTTAATTTGCCTGTCATTGGTATCCCAGTTATATCAAAACAATTGCATTATAATATCATAGAATTAGACTTCCCAGAATAACCAGTTCACGCTCCTATACTACAGGGACCTGTGTCTTTCCCAAATTAATACCTGCCCACCTTACAGTAAAGCATAGTGGTAAACAGTACCAAAAATAAATAAAAAGGCAGCAACATGTTGACTTTAAAAGTCTAATAAAAGGTCATTTCCATAAGTGTTGTCAACACTGTCCCCAAAACAAAAAACAGAACAGTTTTTCCTCAGAAGACTATAAAATGAAGTGACTACTCATTTGAACATTTGAAAAATTTTCTGTACCGCAATCCATTTTATATTTACCACTTGTTTATTTTAACCTGATGTGTTTGCAGTTAGCAAAATTTTAAAACCTGTATTAGTCATAGCAGTGCTGAGGATTCTTTCTAGTGCATTATTTAAAAAAAATTCTGACCTAGCATGGTTGTACATATCTGTAAATCCCAGCATTCCAGAGGCCAGTACAGGAGGATCACGAATGAGTTCAAGACCAACCTGGGCTTACATGGCAAGAACCTGCCTCAAAATAAAAAAAACAAAATAAAACAAAAATTCTGATATCTAATTGTAAGTAATTTCTAAGCCAGAGAACCTGACTACAATAAATATCTAGTGAGGTATGGTGCTGTACACCTGTAACTACTCGGGCAACTGGGGCAAGAGGATCACAGGTTTGAGGCCACCTCTGCAACACAGACCCTGTCTCAAATAAAGCAGAAAATTAATTAATTCATTAATTATCTGAAGTCAGCTCTTTAAAATATCTACATCCCATTTATTGGCTTATAATTTCATTTGAAATCTAGAACATTGTAAAAAACAAGAAACCTTGGACTTTGAACCTTGTCATTTTGTATGTAGGAGACCAAATTAATTATTACAAGATAATGTAACTAATTACTTAGTGGTAATGCTGTCTTGAACAACTCAAATCTCGCTTTCAGTATGGTTCTTTTTCTACGGCATTATATTTTATCTGTTAAGTTTTAAATGGCTGGTCCTCTTTAAATTTAATACTCTTTGGGAAAAAAGTAAAATTTTTAAAATATTTTTCTTATAATCAAGCTAATAGTTTAAATCATGATTAGAGGCTAGATTGAAATCTTGACATAGAATTAGTCCATAAATTTGTTTGAAATATAAAGATAATTGTTTCTCATATGCAACTTTTTAATGTCAGTAAACTGTACTGTGCATAAATTTTGCAATTTTGGTTTGTGCTAATATTTGCAAGTAACCTTCTGGAATTGTAAGTTGTCCCAGTTTTGTCTGTGGGTACTTTGTTCCCTAATGGTTTTGCTGTAATAGTTTTTTTTATAATTTATTTTTTAAAGGATTCTTTGCATTGCTACAACCTGTACTGATTAATTTTGATTTTTTGGTTTTCAACTCTAGGAGTCTCTACCACCCGTCCAGTTTGACTGGAGTAGCAGTGGCCTTACTAACCCTTTAGATGGTACGTCTCTTCGTAGAGCCTCTAGCACCAGAGCTAGAGTTAAGAAAGCTACAAAGTTCAGACAAACTTCTCTCTGCTGATTTCCTTTTTTGTTTGAACATAACTTCTTACTACCTTTGGAAATTCAGGCTTTCTTTCTGAATGGTAATTGCTCAAGAAACCAGCCATTACTATTATCAATATTAATGTCCAAATATAAGTAGTAAGAGCAAGGTAAAGTTTTAGTTTCTTTAAGTCAAGAGTAAGCTTTATTTTTTACAAAAATCTAGATAGTTTAAATGATATTTTAGCTAAGACTAATTTATTTGAATTTGGTTTTATAGTTTTATTTTGCATCTGTAGTTTTTCTGGATGCAAAGTCTTGTGGCTAGAGACTGCTTCAAAGCACAATTATTTAATCAAAAAAATGTGCACATAGATCCATATTTATTGACTCAAAGTAGTTTTCAGATTTAATAATATTTTATAGAACACTTATATGCAAATGAAAAATGAATGATTTTCTTGATTCTTTTCTAAAACTTACCTCCAGATGCTAGTAAGGCAGTTCCAGAGAGCATTGGTTTTGCTTGTGGCTTTAAAAGAAAATTCTGAAGGAGTAACTTAGTGTAGTAACATAGGGTCTTTAAAATGACACACAATGTTAGTTTCTAGCATTTATACCACAGGTTTTCAGTGGACCCTGAGATATGAGTGCTCCTACTCCTGTGCTCCTTAAATTGTTTAGCCATGACTACAATACTTGTCATCATCATCTCAGTGCCAGTTATCTTTGCCATTGTCTAAAACACTATTAGCTTTGCCTTATAGCTGGGGTCCTAGGATATCTGAAAGCATCCAATTGAATAACACAGTGCTGAAGGAAAGCCTGGATGAACCTTTTGCTGTTGTCTGGTGTCTTCAGTCAAATCATCATGCTTTTTATTAACAAACAACTTTAAAAATGTATACTATTTCTGATTACTGTTGCAGAGTTAAAGGGGAACAGTACAACTTGCATATCAGGGTAGGGCCATTATGACATTCCTTATTCTATTTTAAACTAAGTTAATGTATTGGTGTGTGTTCTGAAACTGACAGCTTTGTCATTTTTTAAAAAATCATTAATTAGAAACCAGCATTACTAACATGAAAGATTGGGCATGTAAGGTGATTTAATGTTGAGCTGAGATTAAAGTATTGTTTCCCTTTAACGGTACGCTTTCCCCTTGGTCTTTCTGGTATGGCTTTCAGTTTTGGTTGAAAGAACTGAACTAACTAAAACCTAAGTGTTACATTCTTTACATTGTACATGAGAAAATGTACATCAAATTAAATTGTTACTTTAGAAATGTCCTTAGTGATGAAAACCTAATACTGTATACATTGTTTTAATGTTGATTTTAAGATGTGTAATGACTACTAATGATAACCTGCATGTTCAAGTGTGTGTCTTACCCCTTTTTACACATAACCCCTCCTCCCTTGGCTTACCTTCTGTGTGGCTGACTACCAACACGGTCACTGAATTTCAAGCTAGTGGAGGTTCCACTCTTCTGAACCTTGATTTCTTTGGGCCCGTGGATGACAGTAGCTCTAGCAGCAGCACCACAATCCCAGGTCAGCAGAGTGTTAAACCACATTCTAGTCGATTTACTAAAAGCATGACTACACTTGACTTTCCTATAAACAAGGAAACAAGTAAAGTGTATTCTCTGTAATGTCTTTCTAATACTTTTTTCATCCGTTATTTTCTAGTATCTCACTACAACAAATGATCTATGTGAAATGTATTTTAAGAAAAATTTTCTTAGCATGTAATATTCAAAACTGACTGTCTCTAGGATAATACAGTCCTAGTATCTTTAGACAGTTAAAGGCAGGTTTTCTTCACTCCCTGAAAATAGAAAATGAATTTATATGCTTATTTTTTAAAGTATATTCTATAAAGTCATTTGAAAAAATAAAGTTTAGAGACACAAAACTATTTTAGTACACAAAGATGACTTTACATTGTAGTACCTGTAGTAATACAACCTTTACAAATTCTAGCAGTTTAATTAATTTATTATTGCTACTAAATATATAATTAGATTCCAGAATGTTGGAGTCTAGCACATAGTTATATAATCCCACATAGAAATATTATTATTTTTATGTAGCTCTTAAACAGAAAGTATGCTGTTAGGAAAATATTAACAAAAATTAATAGAAAATAATTGCTATAAGATACTAAAAGCTAGAAATTAAAACTTACTGGAGTGCCTGTTAAATTAATGTTCAACCCTATGAAAGTTCAGTTTGTTGACCAAAGGACTGATGTACTTTGTCATTTTCTAACTAAATAAAAGATTAAAATTATAATAGCATTTTTATGTTTACATTTCACTTGATTTTGTGAGTCTCTCTCATCCCAAGTGGTGATCTGGTGTTCGTGCCCTTTGACCATCAGCTACCCAACTGGGGTACTACTGTAGGTGCTGATGCCCAGCACGCATAGCAAGGACCCCTCTCTCTGCCACTATGGCAGTCTCACAGCCAGTCTTGTTCCTGAGAATTTGGTGGCTTATTCCATTCCATTAGATAACTCAGGTACCCACTTCCAAAATTTTGGAATCAGGATGGGATAAGGGGGAGAGTAACATAGTCAGCTAAGGGCCAGCCTGGGACCTGGGGTGCCATTGACTTACAAGTCCCTAGCTTTCATTTTCACTGTTTGCAAGATTTTGCAAGTATATGAAAAACCAGGCTGTATCTGGTTTTGACCTTCAAGGTGATAGTTTAGTTTTAAATAACTTCCAAATATAACTAATCTGTGGAATGACCTAGGTGAGCTACAGTTGTCTGGCATTTCATTAATGGGGGTAAAAGGCAGCAGCCAAAAACTTCAGTTTCACTTTCCTTATTACATAGTCCTGAGAAGTAGTTACCAAGCTCCCACTTTAAATTTGTTCTCAGCTTCACTTGGTCATGAACTGTATTATAATTTAAATGAGGTCACTTTTTCTTTTGGATGCGTAAAAACTGATTTAGATTTAATTTTTGCTTACATTATAAACTCATTTAAAAACCATCCATAGGAGCACAAATAACCTGGCCACATAAAGAAGTACAGAAATGACCTGATAATCAGGTCCAGCGTACACAGCTGTGTGAAGAACAAACAGTTTCACAGCTTAGAGCTATAATGGACATGAAATCAGCGTGGTCAAACATAGTCCTCCTTACTTTGGGACCTTTTAAATATTTCTGTTCAGTATTGTCATTAGTGTGCCGTAGCTGCTATTTAAATTGATTATAATAAATTTGCTTTGGCTTCTTTTTATTGCTAATGGGTTTTGTTAAAACTTACCATCAAACTACAGGTATCAACACCTTCCTTAGTATTCCATTTCACCACTTGCTAGCACTTTTTCTAACTTGTTTCTGGGAAAGTCATTTTGTCTTAGCTTGCAGTTAATTATTTTGTGTGTGATTCTTAGGAGGTTGGCATAGAACTTAGTTGGCTAGCTTTAATTATGTAATTAAACTATGCCTCATTAAGGTTCTGAAAAAAAGAAAAAACTGCCATAAAAAATTATTCTCCAATTATTACGGCATAGTAGGTAATTATCTTAATTCTGAAAATTTTTAACCATAGTTGTGGTAGATTTTAGAGTCATTTTTGGTGGGTTTTGGTTTTGTTTGAGGGGGATGTGCAGGGAGTGGTCATCTGGACCTAGAAAGGGGTGATTTTGCTGTTGCCATCAACCACTATTTTATAAGACTAAGACGATGCTAGCACTTTGCAGTTTATTCTGCTTTATATATTAGATATCAACTTAAATTCTAGGGCCACTTGGGACCTGACCTTTAGCAGAAGAGAAGAGTGCTTTGGGTTCTTTTGATCCCTTTACAGACGTCTACAGTTTTGTACATTTTAACTGCAATCTATATACTTATTAAAAAGAAAGATCATTTTAAGTATACTTTGAAACTATACCTTAATGAAATATTAAGAACTTGGGAGAGTCAGCCTACATTTTCTATTGCCTTCCTTCCTTATTGGACTTGGTAACTGTGGAAGTTGCTTTTGCTTGTTTAATTTCTGTAAACATCTGAGGTCTATGTTTATATCTGCCCATCATCTAGAGTTGGTTAATAGAAGCCAATTCCTGATTTTTTTTAAACCCTGAAATATCATAAAAGGAAGGAAATTGATAATATAAATATATGCATTTATTTAATTTTATCCAGTCTTGCTTGCTTTAGAAATAAAACTTAGCCAGGCACAGACATGCACACCTGTAGTCCCAGCTACTCAGGTTGGCTGAGGCCAGAGAATCACTTGAACCTAAGAGTTCAGCGTCAGCCTGGGCAATGTAGTGAGACTCCCATATTAAGGAAAAAAGAAAGAAGTGAAAATTGAAGAAGCTGTAAAATACTGTTTTTTAGCAAGTGCTGGGTAAAACATTCTTTTTTATACTTTACTGTTATACCATAAAACTACTAACATTTCTGCTCAGGTAATTTGATGGTACCAGGGAGAGTATAGGATTGAAAATGGGTTTTATGAGTATCTTTATTATCCAGAGTTTAGCTTGAGTTTAAAGTAGTTTTTCTGTAGTCGCTACTATTTAATATATTACAGATATAAGAAGTTGTAAGTTGTTTATTTTAGTGAACTCTGATGGGGGAATGTGTTTTATGTAGACTTTTACATTAAGTCTAATCCTCTAGCTTAGCTTCCTTTTGAACTACTCTATCTAGATATTTGAACTATAGGCCACCAGTTCAGATATGAGACTACAGAAATATAATTAACCCTGGAGATAAGAATTTTCATTTTATCCAAAAGTAGTGCTTTTATTCACTTTTTCTGGAAAGAGTTTACTCTCCCCACTTCTTACCTGAAGAAAGAACAATGGTATATTATGGCAATTTATGTAATGCTTTAATAATAGTTTTAGTAATAACTTGATAATTTTAATAATAGTTCATGTCCTTAAATAGTCATAATATATTTAACCAAATCATTTGCTACAGTTGAGACTTTCTATTAACTTCAAATCTTTTCCTGTGGAGAAAATAATGCATAAAAAATGGTTGGGGAGGTGGGAAAGGAAGGTTAATCAGCCACTTTAAAAATTGAGAATGTCGTAACAAATCGTACACATTCTATTTATAGAACACAGCTCGCATCACAAGTGAATGCAAACTGAGGGAGTTTTCTAGAGAGGGCAGAAATTTTGAAAGTATTTGGAAGGCTTCTGCTACTTAAAGATAAATGTATTCCAAATTGGAGTTTTAAGTTTTTTCCTGTTTTATAGATATTCCAAAAAGTAGAATGTGTTATTTTTAAAATAAACATAATATCACAGTGTTGTAAAGTTGTTTTGTAGTTATAAAAGGCTCAGATGTTTACAGAATATTGCTGTTGATTGTGACTAACTGGTAAGCCACGCAGCTTACCGTCACTGATTGTTGTTTTATACTACAAGGTGTGGATCCAGAGTTGTATGAACTAACAACTTCTAAGCTGGAAATGTCTACCCCAAGCCTCAAAGTGACCGATGCGTTTGCGAGACTCATGTCCACAGTAGAGAAGACAAGCACATCTACCAGGTAAATGAGCAGCCAGTGCCGATCATACCCCAAGTTTGAACTCCGAGCTAGAACAGCAAGTCGATAGTGTTTCATTTTCTGTATGTTTAATTATGAACTTTATTAGAGCAGTTATTTCATAAGCGACTGGAAAGGACTGACAGATGTGGTTTTGCTTTTCCTTTCCTCTCCTCCTCCCCTCCACTACCCCCCCCCAACTTAGTAGAAAAGACCCAGTGATAAGAAAACAATTCTGATTGAGTACTGACATGATGAAGCCATGGTAGAAAAGTTCCCTTTCCCTTCATAATTACTGAGAAGATATCTTTGGCAACCAGTTTTATATTGCTATACCACCTAGGCTAATCTTTCCATATCTAAGCTAAGATAGAATAAAAAATAACCACTCTTTTAACATGAAGCCTTCCTTTCCTAGGCCTCCGGGAGCCTCTTTAAGGACATGGCCTTTAGAGAAGCAGTTACCTCCCTGTGTTGGAACCAGAGACAATGTCATATGTTTAGGATTCAGGAAACCCTTAGCTTGACATAAATAAGCGTTGGGATAATCTGTTGCTTTGACCTGTTAGCCATAAGAATAAGCCAGTTCCAAATGAGCCAAAACATTCTAGTGCAAGGAACAGTACCAGTACTGCATCCCAAATCAGAATTTATCAACTTTGTAAAGAACAGTAGTTACTGGCTGGTTGCCCACTTTGGGAGAAGTGTTACAGCTTTTCATTCACATGTTAAATTCACACCTTTTAAAGTCAATTCTGTTTGTTTTTTTTTTAATTCATTTTTCCAATTTTTCTTATGAATAAATGCTTTGCATGCTCATGTTGCCATTTAAACTTTATTTTGTACTTACATCCATTCACTCAACAATACTTATTACTATTAATATTTATGACTTTGAGAAGCAGCTGTTACTCATTTTGCAGCTGTAGAGACCCTTCACTTTTCCCTAGAATAGAGTTGTAGCACACAGGTCCTTTCTGTCTACTGATTCTCTCCATTGCTCTCATTGTCCCTCATCAGAGCAACCTGGCACTGCTGAAGTCCCCCAGTAAATGAACCTACTTAACCTACTTGTAACTACAGCACCTGTGGACTTCGTACAGGCTTTTAATTTTTTCCCTTTCCAAATCATTTCTTCAAATTCAAACCTCTCGCACTAATTACACATCTGTTTTTCTATATATGTTAACTAGAAGCAAATGCACATTGGACTTTCAAAACCACAGAAACCTAGACCAGACACAGTGGCTCACACCCAGAATCCCAGCTACTCTGGGAAATGGAAATTGGGAGAATTGTGGTTAGCAGCCAACCCTGGGCAAAAAGTTAGTGAGACCCCATCTCAACCAATAAATTTGGACATGGTGGTACGTGTCTGTGATCCCAGCTATGCAAGAGATATAAGAGTCCAGGCCAGCCTGGGAAAAAATGCAAGACACTATTCAAAAAATACCTAAAGCAAAAAAGGGCTGGTGACATGGTAGAAGTGGTAGAGAGTCTGCCTATCAAGAACATGGCCGAGTTCAACCTGCAGTACTGTGTTGGGTGGGGGGGGAACTGATGCCTTTCTTGTTGGGCTCCTCCCACCCTGTTTCTGGGACAGCCCTGCTGGTTCCTCACCTTCTTTCTTAACACCAACCAATAGTAGTGCTGAAATCCCAGGAATGAGAATTCATTTTTTTGTGCCATTAGGAGGCGCTCTAGACCACGTTGTAGCTTGCTCCTAATTTTTAACCCATCATTGAAACACACTGTACATGCCCCAGGAGCTTTCCCAACCCTATCACTGTAAGCTATTCTCCTTTTTCTTTTATTTGGAACTAAAAGAACGAACTAAACTTGTAGCTTACCTCCCGGAGCCAGTGTATGGCTGCACTGAGTTATTCTCTTATAATTGTCCAAGTTTTTTTTTTTTTTTAAGTGTTGGGGATCAAACCCAGAGCCTTGCACACGCTAGGCAACCACTACCTCTGAACCACACTTCCAGCCCTCAGTGAGTGATTCTTGATTCTTAATTGCACAGAGAATAGACAGGTGAATGGCATGTGTGGTTTCAAAAAGCATTTCCAACACACAAAAGGCCACAATGAAGCCTTTTTAACATTTGCGAGGAAGTTAAAGAAATGGAGGCTGGGTGAAGTAGGAATAGGAAAGATTAACAGAGGAGTGAACATGATCAAAGTACATTTCATGCATGTGTAGAAATATCTCAGTGAAACCCTCACTTTGTACAGTTAATATATACTAATAAGTTTTTTTAAACTGAGAAAAAGGCATTCTTAGTAAGGTTTTGTTTCATTTTCTTTTTGTTTTGGAAAAACATAGACAACAAAACTCACCAAAATCTTATTAGCTATTAGCAGTACATAGAAAACAGTGAAAAAGTTTTGTGAGGGATGTAGAGTAAGTAAGAAACAGTGATTAAAACCTAGGTTGTGGTGCAGGCATATAATCCAAGTTCTCAAGTTTGAAGCCAGTCTGGTCTATATAGCAAGACACTGTCTCAAAAAGAGAGAGAGAAAAACAACAACAACAACAACAAAACTTTAGTGGTTGAGGTAGAGGGAGTTTGACATGGAACAAACATCCTGCACTCTTTTCTAAGTGCTTTTGAATACATAAGGAAATGTGTGCTTCTCTTTTCAGTACTCTACATTACCAGTTATTCAACACTCCCCTTCCTTTCCCCAGCGCCTAGTGACCAGTAGTCTGCTTTCTGTCTATGGATTTGCCTACTCCAGTTCTCATATAAGTGCGGTCCTGCATTCCATGGCCTTTTGTGTCTTGCTTATTTCACTTTGCACTGTTTTCAAATTCAGCCCTGTTGTAATGTGTGTCAGTATTTAAATTTTTTATAGCTGCATACTATTCCATTTTGTTTATCCATTAATTAATTGGGGAACACTTAAGTTTACGTTTTTTTACCAGTATGAGTAGTGCTTCTATGAACATTTGTGTACAAAGTTTTGTGTAGATAAATGTGTTCGGTTCTATTGGAAGTAGATTTGCTGGGTCGTGTGATAATCCTCACTTTCTGAGGAACTGCCAAACATTTCCAAAGTGATGGCACCATTTTATTTTCACACTGATTCCATAGAGTTTTCCAGTTCTCCACATTCTTACCAACACTTGATATTTTTTGACTTTTTGGTTATGGCTGTCCCAGTGGATTTGAAGTGGTATCTCACTATATCTCAGTTTGCGCTTGCCTTGGGAGCTAATGATGTGGGGTGTGGTTTCCTCTGCTTATTCATCGTTTGTATTTCTTCTTTGGAAAAATACCTGTTCAGTTCCTCTGTTTTTTTAATTATGCAATTTGGGGGAGTTCTTTATTGATTAAAAATACTAGACCTTTATCAGATACATAATTTTCAGATATTTTCCCCTGTTCTTTGGATTCTCTCTTCTCTTTAATACAGCATCTATTGAAGCACAAAAACTTTTTGCTTAAAAGCTTCTTCCTTGCTGTTCTTTCCCATACCCAACTGTACTCCACACATAGGACATTTACCCAGGACAGGTTTTACTTATTACTGCTTTAAATGGCCTTTTTTTATTCTAAAATCAGGAAAGGCATATTGTAGGAAGTTAGAAAATTAAAGTATCATCTTCTTAGTCTGTAGATCATCATAACTTCTTAGTGCATATTCTTTCAAGTCTTCTTCCATGCCAACATAAGTGTGTATTCTTTTTTAATCAAAAGTGAGATTTTTTTATAGTCTATACTGAATTAAACCTATTGTAGTCAGTGTTCTGCATCTGTCAGTTTTAGTGAGTTTTCATTTTATGAAATACCCTGGCTGCATTCACATTCACCAACAGTGTCCTTTCTGTTTTGTACAAACCAGTACTCAATCCAGGTATTGCACTTGGCTGTTAGGATTCTTAAGTTCCTTTTTTACCCAGCATTCTCCCCCATCCTTGTTGCTTGTTTTCTGCTTCATAATACCAGCTTGTTAAAAACACGAGTCAGACTGTCCTACAGAATATCCTAGGCTCTGCATTTGCCTCTTTGCATCCTTCAAGTCATACTGTCTTCTCTCTTCTCCCAGTTTCCTGTAAAGCTTGCAAATACAGGTAAACATTGTGTCTAGACTACATTAAATGATGCCTGATGCTAACATGGACCGTGGTGAGAGACTGACCTAGTCTGTTATACTTCTGGTTTTCACTTTGAGACTAGAAAGTAACGTAGTTGCTTTGACTGTGGAATGATACAAACAGCCACTTAATAGTTTTGCCACCATTTCAGTGCAATTTAAAATGTAGGTTTTAGTAAAAACAATGTTGATTTCTATCCCATTCTTCTAAGAAACCTTGGAACTGAGTTCTGTGTTGATTGATCTGAAAAGAAAATTGGACTTTCTGTAGTCAATTAAAATGATCTTTGGGCTAGAAGCAGTGGCTCACTCCTATAATCCCAACTCCTTGGGAGGCTGAGATTGGGAGGATCAAGGTTCAAGGCCAGCTCAGGCAAATTGCTCAAGAGACCCCATCTCAACCAGTGGCTGACTGCAGTAGTGAGAGCCTGTCATCCCAGCTATGCCAAGAAGCATATATAGGAGGATCATGGTTCAGGCCAGCCTGGGCATAAAGTGAGATCCTATCTTTAAAGTAACCAACATAAAAAGGGCTGACACAGTGTCTCAGGTGGTAGAGCGCCTGTCTAGCAAGCTTCAGGACCCAAATTCACCAAAAAAATCTTTGGCCTGAAATTAATCTGCAGGATTCTAACTATTCCTCCAATGTATTTAACATCCTGGAAAAAATATGTACAATTTGGATTGCAATTATGTGTAGATTGAGCCACATTTAAGGCTCTTTGGCATTTTCTACAGCTTACCTATGAGGATAGCCCAGCTCGTAGGCCCCAAACTACTCACTGCTCATACTGGGGGTCAATCTAGTAAAATAGATGGGACCTTGAGGCCTATAGGATTTAGAAATCACCTCCCCTGGGCTCCTGCCCCCAGCCCTCAGGCTGCTGCCTGCCTCCCGGCCATGCTAAGAGCTTTCTGTCCTGGAATTCTCTACTGGGATGAAGAAAGCCTGAGTTTAAAATGATTTGCAGTGCCTTATGTTGAGGTCATTTTGGTAGTTCCACCAGAGAAATCCAGATGGGTAGAGTGTATTAGGGCTTTAGCACTGTTCATTTCTTTGGTAACAGTCTAACATCGTAACTGGGTAGATGCTACTAGCCTTTAGTAAACTATAAGCTGCATCCCATGGACATGTGAATATATGTACATATGTGCCTAGCCTTAGTGAACATACAAACACAGGCCACTGTTGCCCTGCATAGAGATTTGGCATCTGGCACAGGAAGCACACAACATAGAAGTATTACACCATTAGTGACTGGCTGAGGGGAGGTGCTCAAGCACCCAAGGATTGCCGACAGCCTACTTGGAGAGTTGATTTTCTCCTGTTTGACCTATAACAAAGTCCCATTAACACACTTGGCTTTTTTCATTTGTTGATAGGAAACCAAAAAGAGAAGAGCACTTGAGTGAAGAAGCTGTCCAGGTGATCGCCAGCCTTCCTGACTTGACATTCATGCACGCCAAGGTGTTGATGTTCCCAGCCACATTAATGCCTTCCACAGGTTCCCGAGAACAGGCTGACTGATAAACGGGGTGCACTGGACATTTCATAGGCTGGTTTTCTCCTCCACCCCTTCCCTACCATCAAAAGCATACCTGCTCTAATTTAAAAAAAAAAAAAAAAAAAAAAATTCAAGTTCAGCTGTTTTGTTGGTAAGCCGCACTAGAAAGGTATACATAGTAATGTATATTTATTTACATACTGAAGTCCTAAATTTATATTAGAAAAAATGTAAATAATCGGGGATGAACATTTTTGAAGATTTATTCTTTTTGTGTTGCTGGGGTGTATACATTTATGTCTTTGTGAAATACACTGGTGGTGTCCTTCTTACAAAACTTTTGAAATAAAAAAAGAAAATTAAAAACTCAAATCTCCACTGTCTGTGAAATCCCCTTCAGTGTTTTCCAGTTGTATTGAATGTCCTTTTAATTTTCCATATAACAAATTACTTTTGCTATCATAAATAAGGTCCAAAGTTCTGTTTAATTTTTTTTTATTTTATTTTGTGTGTGATGGGTTTACTTCAGATCTGGCTTTGGTTAACATTTTTGGGCTCTTTTTTTAATCTTTTCAATCTGGCATATTGCTGTTTGACCTTTTACAAAGTACTTCATAAATTGCTTTTTTGTTATGGGGTGTGGATCATTATCAGAACTTGATTGGAGGGGTTTAGACAGATTGTTTTAAGTCAGTTTAATTTGAAGAAGGACCAAATTTTATGAATGTCTTACAATGAAATGTACTTGTTACTGATTTTTTTTGTTGTGCTGTACCACTATTTTTTGAGGATTTTGCACAGTGTGAAATGGCATAATCATAGACTGCTATGGTTTCGGCTATAAATGCAGTAAGAACTATGGGTTTAACTGTTCGGGGAAGTTCCTATGGAAAAGAGACATGGAAAGGAGCCTCTGGCAAGGGAAATGTGCATGCCCAAGGTCTTCTGAGATTTCAGTGTGTAAATTTCCTTTTAGCTCACACAGAAATAAAACAATTTAAAAGAAATTTAGCCTGGTGTCTTTGTACTTTGGTGTCTGAGGAAAACTATGATGCATTTGGATTTGAAGTTTTATTCAGAGGTAATGTATTTCATTCCAAAGAAGTCATCTAGTAGGGCTTATAGTTTGTTGAGACCAGAATCTAGCCTGTAAGAATTAGATCGGTGCTGTTAGTTCTTGTTTTTATGTGTACAACATGAAGTCATAAAAGAAATTCTCCTATTTCATGATACCATCTCTTCAGAATATTGGCAGTGAAGTGGAGATTTGTAGGGAGTTATTTTCTTTCCATGAGATTAAGGTGAACAGAAAATTTCTAAAAAGTCATTTTGGAATATTTTCATTAGATATTGGGTCCAGAAAAAAATCACATGACATATTTCATGTGGAACAGGCAGTCAGCTAATAGTCCACCTCATCCAATAAGGGAATGTTCCAGGACAACTCTTGTACCCCCACCATTGACAGGTGCCTGGTTCCAGGTTATCCCATAGGTGACTAGAACACTCCCTGAGTGTAAAGTAAGTGTGGCCTGGAGCAACTGGATGCTTATCCAGCCCATCCCCCACCACCACACTACCCCACCCCACCACGTCTTTTTTGAGGCTTTCCTTCAGAATACTCACTTTAATGAGCCTGCTTACTAGCTGCATTATCATGAGAGAGGTAATCAGCCTTGGAATCATACTAACTCTGCATATTTGGTTTTTGTTTTATTTTATTTTATTTATTTATTTTTGATGGTACTGGGGCTGGAACTCAGCTCCTTGTGCTTGCTAGGCAGGCACTCTACTGCTTGAGCCACTCCACCAGCCCCAGAATCCTATTAGCTCTGAAGAATGAGAATGATACTACCTACCTCACAGGGTTGATGTAGTAAACAAAAGATGTGCATGCCTGTAATCTCAACACTCAGGAGGATACTGACCTATCTCAAAACACCAACAAAAAAAAATTAAAGATATGACACTTGTGACATATGTAGACTATCAGTGGTAGCCCCAGTATGGCTGCAGCAAGCCCTGATGAAAAGAGTTCTGATGGACTGGAGACGCAGCAAAGGAGAACAGGCTATGTTGAAAAACAAGTGGCCCTCTTGTAACGACTCACAGAATGATGGTTCACCTTAAAGCCCCTTCTAATAAGCCAGATTTCTGTTGTTTGCCATATTGGAATTTGCTGTTTAGTCACAAGTCCTAACCTATTATTGGATTGTCCTAGGTTAAAGTTGGTGCTATGGTACTGAAGTCCAAAAATGCTCCACTTTGCAGCCAAGCAGGCTTAAGTATCCCAGGAAGCCTTCACAGAAACCGATTCTGATAGATAGGACTGTGAGCACCAACCTGGGTTCTTGTCTTGGTCCTTAGCCACTTCAAGTAGTAGTTACCCCCTGCCTTTCTCAAAGTCAGCCAGGAAAGCAGGACCCTACAGAATTGAGGGGGAAGAAGCTGCGGAAGAAGAAGCCAGTAAGCCAAGTGGCACACAGATTTAGCGGTCAGCTGTGTCCTTTATGCCTTAAAACCAGCTCACCTCCAGGGTCACATCCCACTCCATGGCCAAGTTCAAATATCCATACGTAATTCCCCAGGCTAATCCACACCATAGTGGGAAGCATAGGAGAAAACTTCCCCAAACTCAGTTGTGTTGCTATGCTTTTTATGAGTCATTTCTTCTAGAGAGACTTTCCTCTACACAATTATGGTGTTTTTTTATTTAGAACTTGTCATCTTTTCATTCCTTCATATTTCTTGAATCAGGATAAGGCTTGGCTGTGAGTAACAAAAATCCAAAATACTTTATCTCATGTAATAAGGCACATGCTATTGTCACATTTTAATTTCTTTTTAATTCCAATGACACATTGGAATGTGTGATACAATTGGAAGTGTCTGTTTGATTGGCAGCGCTTTCTTTTTCTTAGTGATTGTATTAAATAATGCTGTCATGCAACCAATGACAGAGTTGATAGAAGTAGTAATGGTGACCAAAGCAGGAGTTTCTCTTCCTCCCTCACCCTTCGTGGCACTCTGAGGGGAGTTGTCTAGGACTAATGCCCAGGATCCTCGGAGACTGAGGCGCTCACCGTCTTGTGTTCTGTGTTCTCTACATACGTGTCTGCCGTGTGCTCCACAGGTGGTTTAAGTTTATGGGCTTCAGTCTTACATTCCAGCCATCTCAGAACAAAGAGTGAGGAAGGGGTTCTCGCTCCCGTTCAGGACACTTTCCATGATACACACACATTTCCAGTAATAACCAATTGCCCAGAACTTAGCTGCAGCATTCTACGTAGCTGCAAGGAGCCTGGGAAACACTTGGAAAGCTGTCGTAAAGTAGATGGGTTCTGGTAGAATACAGAAGAGAACAGAAAATGCAGGGCAGCCAGAAGTCTGGATCTCACCTAGCTTTTACCTCTCAGCCCCCACAAACAGTGGTTCACTGAGACAGTCAGATATGGAGAAAGGAATTCCAGGACCATTGTGTTGGGATGCAATGCCTATTGCTTCCTCATGCTTTCCCAAGGAGGAAAAGATTCTGTTAAGGGCAGTACAGGATTTCCTGGGACCTGGGGGGAACAAATGCTAACATAATCATAAGTAGGAGGAGGGAGACAAGGTAGAAGAAACATGGAACTGGATAGAAGTTGTGTGAAACAGCTCTGCCAATAGCCAGTGGAAAGATCTTGGATCAATACCTTTTCTAAGTCTCAAGGGTATTTTATGAAATGGCAAATTGGAGTCAATAGAATAAAAAAACTGAGGAGTTTGGAGTGTAGCTCACAGTATGGTGCATGTGCCTGGGTTCGATCCCTAGCACCCAAAGCTAAAATACTAAGGAAGAAAGAGGCTTTTAGGACTGAAAGATGAGACGTTTTCCAAACCCCTCCCAGGAGCCCCACTCCAGTGGCCAGGGTGTCCTGCTGCTCACATATTGGATAGCATCAGTTGCAGAAGATTCTCTTTGCTATGAAAAGTTAAGAGGCATGGAGGATCTGATTCTCACAGCTGAGGAAACTAAACCCTAATAAACTGACTGTACAATGTTGCACCTCTCCACCAGAGGCAAGACCCAAAGCCCCTTCTCTAACTCAGCCCTCTGCTCACACCCTCCCGCATCTCCCCCTGAACAGGTGGCCAGTTCAGCCTTCACCTGAACATCTGCTCAGGGCTCAGGACCTCACGGGGCAGCTCCTGGTGTCACACACACACGTGCTTTGTGGGCCCCACTGACTCCAACCTGGCTCCCCATAACTTTCCTCCTGTGAGTTCAAGTTCCCAAGCTGCTTGGGATAAACCTAATCCTTTTCCTGATCTGAAGATCCATATCGTGTTCCTCCTTCCACAGAGCCTTTTCCTATTCACACACACCCTTCTTCTCTGACACAGTCCAGTTTGCCAGATTCTACTTAAAAATGTGCTCCCTGGGCTGGACCAGATGGTGCTTTACCACTGGCTTGGAGTTCATATTATTTGACCTTTCTTTTAATGTTGCCTAAAATTGCATTATTATTAATGGTGACAGTGTGGCCTCTTCAGTTCACTGTGTGAGCAGCCTTTATCCCCTAACTGCCATCAGCCAGATTTTCTGTCATCTACTTGTATCATTTGAGGTTTTAGAATCTAGAAGCAGGTTCCACTGTAGACATTGTTTCAGCTGCCCATTTCCTCCCATCTTGCACTACCCAACGCACACACTTGCCCTCCTTCCTCAGCTTTGTCATCCACAGATCAAGAAATATCCTCTGTGATCTAAATCACCAACACAAATGTTGACCAGTAAAAATCTCAGCAACTGCCCATGCAGTGTGCCAGGAGGGCTCTGGGAACTGTGGCCCCTCAGCTAGTGATGCTACATTCCTTCCTCTCACCCACAGATATAAGAGCAAGCAAAGGAAGCCCTGCTGAATCCAGTCACACTACACGTGATGTCTCGTGGACCATCCTGAGTGTTTCTGTCTCTAAAACCTAGGACAGCTGGAAAGTTTCTGTGACCTAGTGCTCCCAAAGAGGCGCCAGGATAACAAAACAAGTAGAAGAGAAAATGATGTTTACTCAGGATGGGAGATTACAGGATAGCCCAGATTGTCCTGGCACACAGTAAGCACTCAGTAAATAACTTTTTGTCATCATTCATCCAGGTCAGTATTCTGTCACTGAAGAGGAGGATGAGAGGTTGATGGCAGAATTCAATTGACTCGTCTTCCTGACAGTAGTGAAAATGCTAGCCTGACCTCCAGGACGCTAAGGTAGCCTTAAGGTGGTGGTATGTTTTCATTATCCCTCGTTTCAGTTATCTTTCACTCTGGACCATCACCGAAGATAGCACTACATGTTCTTTTGCTTTTTTTAGTTGGTTGGTTGGTTGGTTGGTTGGTGGGACTGAGGTTTGAACTCAGGGCCTCACGCTTGCAAAGCAGACTCTCTACTGCTTGAGCCACACTTCTGGTCCACTTTGCTGAGTATTTTAGAGATGGAGTCTTTCAAACTATTTGCCTCAAACCTCAATCCTCCCAATCTTAGCTACCCAAACAGCTGGGACTATAGGTATGAGCCTCCAGGACATCACTCCTTCAGCTTTCCTTTTGTCTTTTCTTGTGGTGCTGGGGATCACTCTCCACTGAGCTACATTCACAGTCCTCTTCCTTCAGCTTTCAAAATCAGAATTAGGCCAGCCCAGGCATTAATGCAAGGGGCACGGCTCAAGATGTAGAGCACCTGCTTAGCATGTGTGAGGTCCTGAGTTCAAATCCCAGTACTGCACAAAACTTTAAAAAAGAAAAAAAAAAGAAGACCTATGGGGTTGGGGATTTAGCTCAGTGGAAGAGCGCTTGCCTGGCAAGTGTAAGGCCCTGAGTTCGGTCCCCAGCACCGAAAAAAAGGAAAAAATAGAAAAAAAAAGCAAAACAAAAAAAGACAAAAAAAAAAAATCAAAATCAGAATTAAGGGTATAAAATGGTGGTCACCTTATTTCAACTCTGAAAGACTCCTTTGCCTTCACCCTCAGACT